TATTTTTGATCCTTTTTTATGCCTGATATCAAACAAGAGAAAACAGAAAATGATGAATCTGATTGGATCTCAAACCTTTGATATGAAAACAAAATCTAGATCCCAAGAAATTAAGCCCAACAGAAGAGCAAAACTATCTTGAGAAATTCAAAGCTTTGATTTCAGAATTGATTATCAACCAGTCCAATTATATAAACATCTCACACTCTAAAAACACATTTGAAGGAGATAATTTATTGATTGAAAAATTCAGACAACTTCTAGCAACTTCAACTGAAACACAAAAGAAAATGATCAGGAAGATTATCCGCGGATATCAATATGCATTAGAACATGAAGATTTCATTCGGAAAAAAGCAGACTTTTATCCTTCTCAATTTGAAAACTTCAACGAGTCACAGCAGGATGAATTTCTGGCACTTTTTATCAAGGTTCAAGCGTACCTTTCCAAAGCTTATCATGCTCAACAAACTGCAAAATCAATCAAGCTAGCCGATGATCTTGAAAAATCTTTCACCAAGTTGTTGATTGTGGCACACTTGAGCAAGTCTCAAATCGAAACAGTCTTTGAAAATTTACATTTCTGTACTCTTTTACATAAGATTGATTTGTTTGAAAATGAAACTAAAATCAAGCTCAAAGCTTTGAATCTCAAACAACTTGAATCTATTCATGATTTTTTGGTTTGACTGAATCCTTTCTTCAACAAGAAGAATAAAAAAATTTCAAACTTGACATTCTTCAAACATTTTTAAAATTACAAATACCAGCAGAACAATCTTTGTTGATGTAATTCACCACTATTACTTATTGTTCAGCATTTCAAAATTACCAAAAATGTATACTTTGAGAATACTGCTGCCTGTTTTTATGTTTACTGCCTTTTTGAATTGCTATTATCTTCTCTTCCTCTGTCATCCAATTTGGATAATTGTTTTGTTCTTCTTCTTCTTGTGCTCCTTCTTCAAAAGATACTGGATAATATTCAAACCCAAACAAGGTGATTGATTAGTCCAAGAACTTGAAACATCTCTGGATAAGCATCCTTTGACTGTTTGGTTGTTGAGATTTATGTAAGATTACGGGCTCAGGAGACATGACTCCAAACCACAAAGTGTCTAGGAAGCTGTTGCATGACCTAACTGTGGATATCTGTAAGCATATGCATACATTATTGAAGCACCCACTGTCCTGTGTAGTAAACTGAAAATCAATCCTATTTATTACAGCAACAACAACGCTGGGCCAGCTACGCTAACAGTAGTGTTAGCCTAGCGTAGTGTAGCGCAAATACGCTACATTGTAGCGTAGTGTTAGCGCAGATTTCTGTATCTGAGCTAACGCTACGCGTGTGGGCCACAAAAAAGGGCCCACTACGCTGCGCTACAGCGCATTTTAGAGGCTTTTTGGCTGTTTTTGCCGCTAAAAGCGCTGTAGCGCAGCGTAGTGGCACTAACAGCGCGCTAACACTACAGGTTGGGCGCGCTGTTCTGAGGGCCGCTACGCTAACGTTAGTGGGACATTTAGCGTAGTGTAGCGTAGCGGCCCACCGCTGGCAACGACAACATCGATCAGGAGGAAGAAAATCCAGAAGACCAAACAGAACAAAATAGAAAGTAACCCACCAGGTAAGCTTAACTAAACCAGAACTGGAGGCTAACGGAATAGAAAAACTTATCAAAGTATTCTATCTTTTCCTAGTTGTTGACGACAGGAAAGAAAGCAGGAGAATAACCAAAGGCCATCCATCAGGAAAATCAAAAGGTAAGTCTGACTGTAAACAGTGATCCAACAGTAAAATAAGACTGAGGAGGTGTATGCTGTTCTCTATTTTATATAGTGAAAAAGGAGCACGTTACTTAATTGTATTGGCTGAAGCAGGAAAGGATTATCTCTGAAGCACAACCAAGTCTGAGTAAGAACTGTTTGCTGAGAGGAGACTAGTATAATGATCAAGGAGCTAATGTGACTTAAAACCTCACTCACATTGCCAACTTATGTAGAAAAGGGGTCATTGACTCTATCTCATTTCATTCTATAGCTATCATTACCGCTCTATCTCTCTCTCTCTCTCTCAGTATCTTCACTCCTGCTCCTAGGTTTGTTTCTAGTCTATTTTTATTATTTCTAATAATTCTTTTCTAATGTCTAGTCTTAATCTAATGAAATATAACCTAGACTTTTGGATTCTTTCAATTTACACTCTTTACAAACAAAAGTAATCTCCCTTGGTTGTCAAGATTCTTACTCAAAATTACCAACAGGAACCTGCAGGTACCTGTCTTCTACACCTGGGTACCTGCCCTGACAGGTGTAAGTGCGGGTTTCCATTTTGGACAGATTGTACCTGGATGGTGCGGGCTATCTTCAAATGTTGGATTGGGTTATATTTGATACCCCCTGATACAGATTTGTACTGTTTCAAATTTAATTTCAGGCTCATAAAACTGCCAAGCTTTATAATTAATTTGGCACAGATAAATCTACTCCAAAATGAATTCTCCTCAATATGTAAGAGAAAGATATCTCAACTAAAGAATATCCTTTATTTTCATTGATTTGAACTTTCTTACCATCACATCCCAATTTTTCATTACATTCTAGAAAAAATCCATCAATGGTAATGCTATTGATCAAGATCTTAGTTTCCTTACAGCTATTAAATTGCTACAGTACTTCAGTCCACTCCCTTTCAAAATCAAACCATCTGACAAAGAGAGCAGAAAATCTTGCAGGAGAAGTTTCCCACAGGACCATTCAAGGAGAAACACAAGAAGCATTTGAAAAGTTAGATTGTATGTCAATTTGTTTTTCCAGGTGGTTTTTGTTCCAAACAGTAGACCAGGCAGAAAAATGAGATTCTAGGTTTTGATGTTTTATTATTCCTCCTTTTTCAGTGGTTGGAAACAGTGACAAGACACATTGTATGTCAAAATATTCATGTGAATTGTTTTTGCCCCAAATGACTGATTTTATAATTTTTTTATCCTTGTTGGATTCTGAAAATATTTGATTTTCAATTCTTGTAGTCTCACAAGAAATTCAACATCCAAAAGGTTAGTAATTACAGTGCTTTGAACCTCATTTAGTCATGTGCCTCACATTTAGGAAGAATTCTTCTTCATGAGAAACTTTTAATGTTCATTCAGTATCATCCAAGCTTGATGGACCACTGAGCACTTTAACCCCATTTGAAAAAGAAGAATATCTCTCAAGACTCAAGAGGATAGTCTTCCATTTACGTGAAAATAATAAAACTTGGAAGAATATGTCAGCCATTAATGAAGGCACATACCCCGACACAATTTTTCTTGAGAAATTCCATCATTTGATGAGTACTTCCACTGCCACTCAAAAGGAATGGTTATTTGCAACAATAGAGTCCTAAAGAAATCCTGCGGATATTGACATAGAATAAACCAAAATCGTTGAGAGGAGGTGATTTTCCAGAAGAATTAGAAAATTTAGAAGAATCAATTCACAACAGGAAAAACTTGTTGTAATTTTATAGAAAAGATTGATAGTTTTATCCACAGTACAGAACATCCCTCCAAATCAATCAACAAAGAGTTGGAAGACTTGTTCAAGAATTTAATCCAAACAATAACCAATCAGTCTTTAGTTGAAGCAGTTTTGGAAGCCATACAAGCACTCTTTCTTGCCCAAAAGCTTGGAGAATTTGAGGAGGATACTGGTCTCTACTTGCTGGCTTGGGGTCCTGAGCAGTTTGAACTGATCCAAAAAGCATTAGATAAGCAAGTCCCACATTCATAGGTCTCTAAAACAATTAGGGATAACCCCATTTTTTTTTTCTTCAAAAGATCTTTTTCACATGAATCTAACTTTTGTTTACATGAATGAAACCTCTTTGTTTTCCAAAAAAAAAAAAGAACTTTTTAGAATTATAACAACTGGTTCCTTTTGCTTTTTCTTCCCTTTCTCTCATTCAAAATTACTGGCTCTGTCTCTTTCTTCATGGTATCACGTCTTATATTAAAACTTATTGCTTTGAATATGTAGAGTGCTCTTGTTTGGTCCTGTGTTGTTTTGTTTTAGCAGTAGGTGTTCTGGAATAGAAACAAGGATAAATAACCGCCACCAAAACGAAACACGGCCATCGCCTTAAAGGAGTCTGTTGGAGAGATTTTTGATGTCCTCATGGTGGTTTTGCTTCATCGAACTTCGACTGCCTGGCTGCAGGAGAGAAGTCTCGATGGACATTCTCTACAGATTTGGTTGAGAGCAAAACGGTCGATGCTCCCCACCCGGGGAGCTCTCTGCCCGCAAGGTTTGAAGTGTGTTGTTGAGTTGCTGTGGAAAGGGCGTGGAAGAGCGAAGAGTTGATTAGGTAATCAATCGGTTGCCAAGCTGCAGTATAAAATCCAACTCAGCCAACCTTCCTTCCCTCAACCCTTTGTCCGAGAAAACTCAAAAAACAAAAACATCAGGATGATGATGAACAGCGAGGAGATCGAGATCAACGAATGGCTGGACCTGGATCAAGCAGACGAGGATATCGGACTACTCCAGTTCAACAACGACTACAACAACAACAGCAACAGCAACAACCAACGGTAAGCAGAACAGCTATCTACACTCTATTCTCACTCTTCAATCCCAAACTGATCACCATCCTCACTCAGCTTCTCATTCGACTCAACCTTACCCCAGTTCACCCTCAACCAACACCAGCTCATCCAACCCACCAATCACCTCCCTATCATCTCACTCGACCCTTCAACCATCCTCAACTATCCCACCTCATCCTCAACTTCCCAAATCGATCATCCACAGCGCTCAAACACAACATCAACATCAACGACGACTACGACTACGCCGGCGGCAGCAGTAGCCAACTCATCCACACCAGCCACCCAACTCAACCAGTTCAACAACCCAGTCTCAATCCACCATAACCACAATATATTCGATCGACCAGCCGATCACCATCAATTCCCCACTTACGCCTTGGATCCAGCCTTACTGACGGCCTCGATCCCATCTCATCATCGAACCAACCCCATCAACAACAACGAGAACAACAATTGCAGCAGCGGAAATAGCAGCACCACTGTAAACAACAGCTCTGCTTCAACCCCTCAGATCAATCAACTTCACCAACAACCAGAATGCCCCAAGCCATTCTCAAAAAACCTCGAGTTGAAAATCACCCTGCCCAGGCGCTCTCCCTCCTCCCATCCCTCCTTCAAGCAGGAGGAAGAGGAGGAGGATGGCGATAGTCAAGATCAACGATCGGTAACCATCAGGAGCTCACATTCCCGCTCCTCCTCGGCGATCAACTTCGGCCAACAACCCACGCCTTCGTCCCCCGTACCGCCGTCCCATAAACGTACTCTTTCCCACTCTCATCCATTGGTCAACGTGCCCGAATGGGAGGATAAGCCGAGTGCGGAGGAGTACAAGATGTTGAGTAGCAAGGAGAAGCGTCAACTGCGTAACAAGATCAGTGCACGCAACTTCCGCCACCGTCGAAAACAGCACATCTCTGCACTTGAGCAACAGGTTGCTCAGCGGGACCAGACCATCGAGGCCCTCTACAACGACCTCGGTGCAGCCCAGAACGAGAATAAGGAACTCAAATCGCAGGTCGAACTACTCAAACAAAAGTGGTCCGATCTCATGAAGAAGATCGAGGAGATGTCCCTAGGCTCGATCTCCCCCGCCGCCCCTACCTCGATCACCACCACAACCAACACCTCAGCCGCCGCTCAATCTACGAGCGCCTTGCCCGCCTCACCTCGCCTGAGATCCGCCAAGGCTAATGCGATGATCCCCTTGCCCAACTTGCACAAGGATCTTGGCAGCCATACCAGGAAACCATTCAATGGGGTCGGCGGTATGGCTGGAGGGAACGTCGGAGTACACACCACGTTTGTCTTTCTCCTTCATCCCATCCGCTGACTGACAGCCTTCCCAAACTGATGTCGAATTCAACGTGACGTTGTGTTTTGATGCTCAGGCTTATTCCAGACGTCCTGGTTGACGTTTACAAGGGCCCGATCGGATCACGCTTGGATCCTGGTCGTCGCTCGGGGATATTCGAAGAAGAAGAAGAAGACGAAGCAGCAGAAGAGAACATGTCACCTCAAGCGATGCTCGAACAGAAGCTCGACCAACAAGGTTCGAAGCACTCGGTTGATCGATGCAATGGGAGAGAGCTAGGGCAGGCTTGGAAACTGTTCCCTAGCGATCGACGAGGAGTGACGAGCGATGAGCTCATCGAGAAGGCGCGTGGCATCGGGCCGGGTGTTCGAAGCGAGATCGAAGGGCCCTCGGAGGGCGAGGTGAGGAGCCGATTGTGGCAGATGGTCTATGAGGCCATGCGTCCGGATAACGAGATCAACAACAACGACGAGGCTCTTAACATTGACCCTTACAAACTCGCTGCTTGTCTCGACGGCCGCCTCGTCCTCAAGCTCGTCGAACCCGCCCCTCCTCCCTACCCCTTCCTCAACTCTTCCGCTTCCTCCGTCGACCTCCTCGCCACTCGTGTCGCTAATTGTCATATCT